TGCGCTACCCGCGCAGCGCGCTGCCTGCGGGGTGCGCTACCCATGGGGCGCGCTACCTGCGGGGCACGATACCTGCGGGGCGCGATACCTGCGGGGCGCGCGGCCTACGGGGCGCACTGCCTAAGGTAGGCGTGCTGCCTAAGGTAGTGCGTGGCTACCTAAGGCAGTGCGCGTGTGCCTAAGGCAGTGCGCGTCTGCCTAAGGCAGTGCGCGTCAGCCTAAGGCAGAGCGCAGGGCAGCCTAAGTCACAGCGCGAGGCAGCCTAAGGCAGAGAACGGGGCAGCCTAAGGCAGAGAGTGGGGCAGCCTAAGGCAGAGAAAGAGGCAGTCTAAGGCAGAGCACGGGCGCGCGTTTCTCTAATGGGTGGTGCTCGTTACATAGGCTAGGTGATTACGGAGCGACGAAGCGAGTACGGAGCCGTGAAGCGGTATTAGGCTAGGCTAGGCTAGGAGCGTACCTACTCATGATACCATCTCAAGAGTGATGCATAGCGGAATGTGGATGACTAGCAAGGTGGGAGATACAAATGCAAGGTCGTATCCCTGGCTAGTGTCAAGATACTGTTGGTGTCAAGCGGGAAATTCGCTTGACACCAGGTGAGCGCGGCTCCAGGTTGGTGTCAATGTTGCCAACATTGTGCCAACTTCCTGAGCCATCCCAAGCTGACACCAGAAGGTTTATTCCTCCATGCGTTTTCCGAGTTAGAGTCATGTGTCAGGAATTGTATTTTTTATGTAACTGCATGCAATATAGTTAGTGTAGTATCATTGTAGAGATATTTCTATTGGTGGTGTACCTCCCTTGGCCACCTGTGCTTGCAATATCTTGTACCTATGCTATAGTGAGAACCCCTTTTCTCTCGTTATTCCCTCTCACATGGTCTTTTCAACATGGTATCAGAGCGGGTTCTTTCCTAGAACCTTCCGTTTTCTTTAAAGATCAATGGGCCCACCCGTCACTATGCCGCGCCTCGGCCCCGAGCTCGTCGAATCGCCCGCGAGCGGCCCGCCTTTGCGGTCGCTCATGCGCCAGCGAAATCGCCAGCGGCTCGCTGGCGCGTTCTCGGTTATGCCGAAGGCGACGCCAGCGCCCGACGCCGACGCGGACACCAGCGCTAGCAGCAGCTAACGCTCCCCCCCCCCTCCCTTCCGCGGCTTCCGCCGAGGAGGGGGGGAGATGAAGGGTTGGCGGGGTTGACCAGCAACTCGTCACGAGCTGCCTCTCCTCCTTTCTCTCTTCTTGCAGGGCTTGTCGCTGTGGGGAGGGGGGGGGAGAGAGGTTGAAGGGGTGGTGAGATAGAGAAAGAGTTTCTTCTATTCTGGTTTCTCTTTTCGTAACGTTTTCTCGTCGTTTCTCGTTTTGTTACTATCCGTCGTTTCTGGGCGTGGTCGCCCCTCGTCGCGCACATCGGCATCTGTTGCGGGGGTTCAACCGCAACTGGGCACCTGCCGTGGGGGTTCAACCACGGTGGTTCAAGTTGCGGCACGTGATGACTGCACTTAGGGTGGAGCGCCCCTCACTGGCTACGTTTGTATGCAGTTAAGGGGGGATGTCAAGAATTGTATTCTTTATGTAACTGCATACAACATAGTTAGTGTAGTATCACTGTAGAGATATTTCTATTGGTGGTGTACCTCCCTTGGCCACCTGTGCTTGCAATATCTTGTACCTATGCTATAGTGAGAACCCCTTTTCTCTCGTTAATCTCTCTCGCATGGTCATTTCAACATCATGACACTAACCACTCTTGACACTAGCCAGGGATACGACCTAAACCTAGAAAGTGTTGTACTCCCTACAACCCTACTCACTATAGCCTATCAATATAATGTATAACATTTGACAAATAACTGCTAGTGCGTTCACACGCGATACATGGAAGAGTATTGGAATTAGAGCTTTCAGGTAAATTATTACTCACAATTTGGTATCTCACTACATTACAGAAATCTAACCCAACAATTTCTTCCCAAAATCCATTGACTAAAAATAATTTCACACGGTTGTATCACATTCTCCTAATGCAAGCAGCCAAGCAAACCCGCTAATTCCTAACACTGGTCGTTCCTAAACTCAGACGAGCCCTCTAACTCCTAATCTCTAAGTAGCCCTCTAATTCCCAGCACAAGTTGAATATCTAGATCTTGTCTTCATCCGAAGATCCCTGCGCTGTGCATACCTTGGGTGTTGATAAGTCTTGCCCACAACTGCTGTCGAAGGGAAGGGAGCGTTACCGTACCTGCTTGATTCTCCAAACCTGCACGTCCGGGACCGCAGCACTTACCGTACCTGCAGACCGCCTGCCCGGGCCTCTTTAATAGGCTTGGCGGGCGTTTCTAGCTTCGGGGCCCTTCAGAAGTTGGTGTCCGCTTTGGATGGTGGCACCGGCATGACGGCATGATCCTCCAAACCTGCATGTTCCGGTCCGCATGTAGTATTGGCAGACTGGTTGCCCGAGCCTCTCTGATAGGTTCGCCGACCTTTTCTAGCTTTGGTGTTCATCAGAGGTTGGTGTCCTCTTTGGATGGTGGTACCGGCATGATCCTCCGAACCTGCACGTCCCGGTCCGCATGTAGTATTGGCAGACCGGCTGCCCAAGCCTCTCTGGTAGGTTCGGCGAGGCCTGCCGTGCCTCCTGCTGCGCCCGCTTCTGTTGCTGCTTCTGTTGTTGCTGCTGCTGATTCTGCTGATGTTGCGGGTATTGCTGCTGATACGGCTGCTGAGGATGAGAAGAAGCATCTACACCGGGAGCACTTAAACCTGATGCAAGCACACTAGAAGCACCCAAACCAGTCCCAGAAACACCTACACTAGAAGCACCTTCACCAGAAGAATCTAGATCGAAAGCACTCACACCACTTTCAGAACCAGAAGTACCTACCTGAGAAGCACCTACACCAGCTGCCACTGCACCATCTACACCTGAAGCACCTACATTGGAAGCACCTTCACCAGAAGTACCTTCACCAGAAGCGCCAACATCTGAAGCAGCGATAGCTGAAGGACCTTCACCAGGCGAAGCCTGATTCAGTGGGAAAGGAGCAGCAGTGGTACCAGCTTCTGCTGCTGCTGCTGCTGGCGCTGCTGCTGCTACTGCTGCTGGCGCTGCTGCTGGTGCTGGTGGTGCTTGTGACGGTGGTGGTCGGAGGACGGACTGGGGGGCAACTAGAGAGAAGAGATGAGCAGAGGCAGTAGCAGCAGTAAGAGAAGCATCAAAGGGGGCATGAGGAGCAGCAAGAGGAGGAGCACGAGGAGCAGCAAGAGGAGGAGCACGAGGAGGAGGAGGAGCAGCAGGAGTAGCAGCAGGCCAAGAGGGAGGTGGGAAAAAAGGGGCAGCGGTGGTAGCAGGAGCAGGAGCAGGAGCAGGAGCAGGAGCAGGAGCAGAGGGAGGAGGAAGAACAGGAGCTGGAGCTATGGAAGTGCCTCCAGAAGGATCAGTGGCAGAGTAGTAAGGGTAGCTGGGATAGTGGGGAGGATAATGAGGGTGGTGGGGTTGGTGGGGGTAATGAGGGAGGTGGGAGTATGGAGGATAGGGAACGACTGAGGATGCATAGGGGAATGATGACGTCATGTATGGGCCTGATGACGTCATGTTGGAAGCTGATGATGACGTCATGTAGGGGCCTGATGGCGACACGCAAGGGGCTGATGAGGCCATGTAGGGACCTGTGGACGTCATGTAGGGACCTGCTGACATCATGTAAGGGCCTGATGACGTCATGTAGGGAACAGAAGAAGCAGCATACAAGGAAGGCGTTTCTGCCCCTGCAGATTGGAAACCCATGCCCGTGTGACCACCCGTAGCCACATTCACACTTCCTCCTGCCCCCATGCCCATGCCCATGCTCATGCTGCTGACTGTTGGGTTTGAGCTAGTACTAGGTATACCCCCCCCACTGCTCCCTGGCTGCATGGGCTGGTAGTACTGATGCTGGTGCGGGAGTTGCTGCTGGTATTGCTGCTGGTATTGCTGCTGGTATTGCTGCTGGGGTTGCTGCTGGGGTTGCTGCTGGGGCTGAGGCAGGGGCTGAGACTGGGGTAGGGACTGGGACTGAGAGTGGTTCGGCTGATACTGTTGCTGCAGGTATTGCTGATACTGTTGCTGGTACTGGTACTGCTGCTGGTACAGCTGCTGCTGCTGCTGCTGCTGCCTCTGCTGCCGCTTCTTCTTCTGCCCCTGCACCCTGCTCGCCTGCGGTTGAGGCGTCTCAACATCAGAAGAGTGAGAACTGTCACCTCCTGTTGTCCTTGCCAGACCACCTTCCCCCTCTGACCCAGCCACACGACTTACTGATTGCTCGTGAAATCCATTGCCGCCATCATCCCCATCATCCCCATCATCCCCATCATCCTCATCACCCCCATCATCCCCATCTCTCGCTCTGCCTGACACTCTAGTTGCACTCTCTGTGCTCTCCTTGCTTGAGCGGCTGTGCGACACCTCATCTGCGCCTGCTGCTGCTCCTCCTCCTCCTGCCGTCGCCACCGCCGCCGCTGCTGCTGCTGATGCTGCTGCTGGTTCAAACGCATCATATTCGGTAACAGCTACTTCTGAAACCCCTACCGTTCCACCTGGGAATTCACCTGACATTTGACCTGAATTTTCACCTGAGTTCTCACTAGCTTCAGCACCAGCATCAGCAGCAGCGCCACCACCAGCAGTGCTGCTAGCATCTTCGTTCCCAGGTGTTTCCTCAGGGCTGCTGCTGCTGCTCGGCCGTTGCTTAACTGGCCCCTCTGCTTCTGCTGCTTCTGCTGTGTGTGCTCCATCAGCGTGTGACACCTGCACCTGCTGCTGTTGGGACGGCTGTAGCTGGGAGGGATACTGGTAGGAGGGATACTGCTGGGGCGGGTTCATCTGAGAAGGGTTTAGCAGAGGGGGATGCTGCTGGGACGGATGTAGCAGTGGAGATTGTTGACCAATAGGAACTTGGAGATGGGGAGGCGGATGTAGCCCCATAGGATGTAGCTGGGACGGATGTAGCAGGGGCATGTGCAGGTCAGGGTGGTGGAACTTGCATGTCGCTCCGAACTTGCATCGACCCGTACGCAGGAAGAAAGCACACTCTGTCTCGGCCTGTGCGTGGTGGGGCACGGGGAAAGAGGGGGAGGGGGGAGTGTGCACACTCCGAACTTGCACCGCCCAGTGCGGAGGAAGAAAGCACATTCTGTCTCGCCCTGTGCGGAAGACAGGGGAGGAGAGGGGAGGCATGTAGCAGGGGCGTGTGCAGGTCAGGGTGGTGGAACTTGCATGTCGCTCTGAACTTGCACCCCTCTGTGCGAATGAAGAAAGCACACTCTGTCTCGGCCTGTGTGGGAACAAGAGATGAGGTAGAGTGAGTATACTTCTGAGGCGACTAAAATAGTTTCAGCGGCCTGTGTGAAGGAAATAACGAACAAAGTGCATACCGGTCTGAGGGGGTAGCCAAGGGCGTTGAGAGGCAGGTGGGAGGAGATGGCAGGCGTTGAGGCGAGTAGGGAGTGGTGAAAGGTGCAGGTAACTCCGTTCTTACAGGTAACTGTGTGTGTGGTGCTCATCGGTCTGAGGGGGTAGCCGAAGGCGTTGAGAGGCAGGTGGGAGGAGGCGGCAGGCGTTGAGGCGAGTGGCGGGTGGTGGAAGGTGCAGGAGGGACTATGTACTCACAAGGAGCTTTTGAGCGTAGGGACATCTGAGTCGACTGTATAGCATGCATGCAGGTAACTGTGTGTGTGGTGCTCACCGGTCTGAGGGGTTAGCCGACTGCGTTGAGAGGCAGGCGGGAGGAGACGGCAGGCGGTGGGGCGAGTAGAGCAAAACACGAGTGAGCAGATACCTGTGTGTGTGATACATACCGGTCTGAGGGGTTAGCCGAGGGCGTTGAGAGGTGGGAAGAGACGGCAGGCGTTGAGGCGAGTAGCGGTGGGTGGTGGAAGGTGCAGGAGGGTCTGTATTTGCAGCAAGGCTCTGAGGCGCCTCAAGAAAAGCCCCAACAACAGGCAATCCCGGGTGAGCTACTCACCGGTCTCAGAGGGTAGCCGAGGGCGTTGAGAGGCAGGTGGGAGGAGACGGCAGGCGGTGAGGCGAGTAGCGGCGGGTGGTGGAAGGTGCAGGAGGTTCCGTATTTGCAAGTGCCCGTCTTGAGATAGTACTGAAGAGGAAAAGGGAAGAGGGGAGGGGAGGGGATGGGAGGGGAGGGGAGGGGAGGGAGAGAGAGAATGGGAGATTTGCTAGAAGAGGGGAAGAGTGAGCAGGTGTTGTGGCAAGCGGAGGGTGGTGGAAGGTGCAGGAGGCTCAGGTACTTGCAGGTGCTAGTCTTGAGAGAGACATATGTGAATTCGTTGAATCGCCTATGTGATGGCATGTGATCGCATGTGATGGCCTGTGATGGCATGTGATGGCATGTGATGGCATGTGATGGCCTGTGATGGTATGTGATGGCATGTGATGGCATGTGATGGCATGTGATGGCATGTGATGGCATGTGATGGCATGTGATGGCCTGTGATGGCATGTGATGGCATGTGATGGCATGTGATGGCATGTGATGGCATGTGATGGCATGTGATGGCATGTGATGGCATGTGATGGCATGTGATGGCATGTGATGGCATGTGAATAGAGACAGCAGAGGATGGCTCACCTTGCACTCTGTTTGTCCCGGTCGTTGCGGGTACGGCGTGGATGGGAGCGGCAGTTGCGCTGACTGGTTGGCCTATAATGAAGGCTTACTTGATGGCATGTGAATAGACTGGAAGGAGCAGAGGATGGCTCACCTTGCACTCTGTTTGTCCCGGTCGTTGCGGGTACGGCGTGGATGGGAGCAGCGGTTGCATCGCCTGGCAGGAGTTGGGATGGGATGGGATTGGGTGGGGTGGGATGGGATGGGATGAGGTGGGATGGGATGGGATGGGATGGGATGGGATGGGATGGGATGGGATGTGTTGGCACATGACGAGATGGGATGGGTTGGGTTGGGATGTGTTGGCACATGACGAGATGGGATGGGATGGGATGGCATTGGGATGGGATGGGATGGGATGGGATGGTATGGGATGGGATGGGATGGGATGGGATGGGATGGGATGGGATGGGATGGGTTGGGATGGGATGGGATGGGATGGGATGGGATGGGTTGGGTTGGGATGTGTTGGCACATGACGAGATGGGATGGGATGGGATGGGATTGGGATGGGATGGGATGGGATGGGATGGGATGGGATGGGATGGGATGGAATGGGATGGGATGGGATGGGTTGGGTTGGGATGTGTTGGCACACGACGAGATGGGATGGGTTGGGTTGGGATGTGTTGGCACATGACGAGATGGGATGGGTTGAGTTGGGATGTGTTAGCACATGACGAGATGGGATGATGGCATGGCAAGGCATCAGGAGGGTTTACCTCCAACCTGGGAGGGTGGTTGAAGCGGCACCTTGACCCATACGCACAGCTCCCCGTCCGCATGTAGTTACCAGGTGACCTTTTGAGTCGACTCAAAAGCAGCTCCCCGTCCGCATGTAGTTACCAGGATACCTTTTGAGTCGACTCAAAAGCAGCTCCCCGTCCGCATGTAGTCTGGGAGGGTGGCTAAACCAGCACCTAGATCCATAAGCACAGCTCCCGGTCTGCATGCAACACACAAACTCCTACTCAGCGTGCTTCCCAATCTTACCTACTCAGCGTGCTTCCCAATCTTACCTCCAGCCTGGGAGGGTGGTTGAAGTGGCACCTTGACCCATACGCACAGCTCCCGGTCCTCATGTAATACGCACACTCCTGCTCCCCCGGCCGCTGCAGGTACACTGGCGGAAGCTTCCCTGAAGCATCCCAATCTCGCCTCATTCTTCCACTCCCACCACCACCACCAGCACCATCACCACTGCTACTGCCACCACCACTACCTCCCCCTCCTCCTCCACCGCCTCCCATCTCAAACCCTCTTCTCTCGTTGAAGCTCCTGCTACTCCGCTGCACTCCTCCTCCCCCCCCTCCTCCCCCTCCTCTTCCTCCCCCGCCTCCCTCCCCGCCTCCCCTGCTGTAGTTGCTCCCAAGGCTCCCTGTGCTGCTGTTGTGGCTGAGGTTTCTCGGATACACCACGGACCTACCCGTGCTGCTGCTTTGGCTGAGGTTTCCCGGATAACCCATGGACCTACTCGTGCTGCTGCTATTGCTGAGATTTCCCGGATACACCAAGGAAGGGGGGAAGCCTGGGGTGAAGTAAGGAGAAGGGATGATGCCCGAGGGAGGGAGAGAGGGAATGAGGGAGGGGAGGGTCCCGTAGGAGGAAGCGGGGGAGTAGGAGTAGATCTGGATCGGTGGAGGTCCCATGCTTCCTGCTCCTCCTCCTGCTGCTGCTGCTGCTGCTCCTGCTCCTGCTCCTCCTCCTCCTCCTACTGCTGCTGCTGCTGCTGCTGCTGCTGCTGCTGCTGCTGCTGCTGCTGCTACTCCTGCTGATGCTGCCCCTGCTGCTGCTGCACCTGCTGCTGCTGTTCCCAGTGGCTGCATCAGTGTTTGCAGCATAGGCACTGCTGGCGGGAGCACTGTTGGTATTACTGCTCCTCCTGGTATTTCTCCTGGTGTTTCTCCTGGTGCTCCTTGTCGGTACTCCTGGTGCTGCCAGAACACGGCTGGGTAAGCCATTCTAGAGCCTGGAAGAATGGGAAATATGAAAAGGAGAAGGAGAAGGATTGAGGAAGGTGGGTTAAACCCTGGAAAAGAACAGTAGAGCACTGCTGCTTCTGATGTTTCTCCTGATGATTCTCCTGATGCTCCTTGTCGGTACTCCTGGTGCTGCCAGAACATTGCTGGGTAGGCCATTCTAGAGCCTGGAAGAATGGAAAATAGGGAAAGGAGAAGAAGGAACGAGCAAGGTGCGTTTACACATCAGATAGGAACAGCAGAGCACGAGCTACATCAGCTTAATGACAAAATGATGAAATAAGGCTTCCATCCAAGTTGAAGTAATAAATTTGTCAGCTCACGTGATGCAGATCCCTGACGAACCACCTGAAGGAGCACCTGACGGATCACCTGAAGAACCATCTGAAGAATGACCTCACGAATCACCTAAAAGATCACCTGACGAACCACATGAAGGAGCAACTGACGGATCACCTGAAGAACCATCTGAAAAATGACCTCACGAATCACCTAAAAGATCACCTGACGAACCACCTGAAGGACAACTTGAGGGACCGGTTTGTGCTTGTTCTCGTTTATTACACAAGATCTGACGGGGTCACCTGACATATCACCTGAAGGGTCTCCTGAACAAATGGGGCTCAGAAGCCAGAGACACTTACCTACGAGAGTCTGATAGCCTTCAGCTCCTGCCCCATCCAATGTAGCTCCCGTTATAGTCACTCCAACTCCTTCAAGTGCACGATCTTCAGCCGTTATAATCACATCAGCTCCACCACTCTCCCTGTCCAGTGCGTTATCTCCCCCCATCCGGGGGAGGCTGCATTTGGTGCAGGGTTATCTGCTGCTGCGTATGACCAGCGGTTATTCTGGCTCCCTGGACGTAGGTCCAACTGGGGAAGGCAGAATGCGGAGCAAAGGTGGGTGAACGTAGATTTCAGTCTCCAGATTGTATATTACTGCTTGCGGATCACAAATGCCGCCAAATGATGGGTGAATTACACGCTGATTCCAGATGGTAGTAGCAGACCCGTGCGATTTCATATCACATCTGCCGCCAAATCACATCTGCTTTGCTTCCACATCGCATCTGCTTCGATTCCATATCAAATCTGCTTCCAGATCAAATCTGCTGCCAGGTCACCTCTGCTGCCAGGTCACTTCTGCTGCCAGGTCACGTCTTCTGCCAGATGACTTATTCTGTTAAGTTATCTGAGAAAGGGTGAAGCAGAGCTGCTACTCTCAGTTCTTCCCAATCCAGCCTGACATTCCAAGAATCTCCAGGATTTATATACTGAGAAGAGAGTCAGTCCAGGGTTTAGCTGCTCTCAGCTCGTGGCAATACAGCCCTCTGTGACCTAGTCTCAGCTCAGTGAGCAGGTCTATATTTCTTTAGTGGCCTGTGAACAGCCTGCCAAATCCCGAGAGATCCCTGGAGATTCCAGAAATTCTGAGCTTGAGCGCATGTTCTGCCGGCTTGGTTTCTCCTATCAGACTCTAGGTTCTCTAAACTACCTGGGTGCTCTTACTGAGTAGTGGCTCCGAAAGCGTGCTCCTAGAGGGGTGCTTCAACACTCTCTCTTGGAAAACGTGACAGCATCTGAGTTCACCCCAGATCAAACTTTGAACGATAATGTCTCAAAAATTCGTGAACTTTTGGCAAAACGTTTCCCTAAAGTTACTTCGGAGTGTAACTTCAAGGATACCCTGAAGGATGCCACTTGAAGTGGTTTACTACATCACCAAAATGGAATGTCCCGAAACTGTCCCAAAATATTATTTTCGAATACTTTCGGGACAGGTTGAAAAGTGTCTCGAAAGACACTTTCGAGACTAAGTGAAATGTCCTGAAAGTGGATCGCCCAACTGACCCGAAAGTGTCTTTCGAGACACTTTTGGGACACATTCGAGACCTCTCTTCCTGTAGCATTGAGGACTCTCCCACGGACAGATTCGGGACGTCTCTGGGTTTGCTTGCATTGCAACTGCCTCTCTTGCGTTTGGCCTTAAAGCCCCATTGTATTTAAAACAGGACATTAATACAATGTTTATACAAGAAAACACTAGAAACGCTAATGCATAATTCTTGCACCATGATGTATACAAATTGCCACAACTTCCAAAACCATAAGGCTCAAATATATTATCTAGCATAACACAAAAACACCGCAACATCTAAGTAGTGGCTTCAGTTTGTTAAAGTTTAGAAGAAAGAAGAGAGAAGAAGAGGATTGCACTAGCAAGAATGGGGATACAAATAGGAAACCCTAGAAGGGTTGTACTCGCTATAGAGCACCCCACTACAGGCTAGAGCATAAGATAACATTCTGACACACCCCCATAGCCAAAGTGGGGTGTAATCAGCAGAGGAAGCAAAGGAGTACAAGCTCAGGGTGGATCACAATGTCACCACACATTCTGAGCACAAGTTCAAGAAGCAATAGTTTAAGTTCACAATTATGAGCAAAGCTAGTGGTAGTCACAACGGGCAAGTGAGGAGGAGGAGAGAGAGTGAGAGGAGAGGAGATAGGGGGCGACGGCTGAAGCTGCAGACACACGGGCAACAGGAGGCAGACTGGCACAGCGGCTACCGGACGAAGTCCCCGGAATACAGGAGTAACAGGCCCCGCGGCTAAAGTAGCGGCAGACGAGCAACGGACCCACGGGCGGCTGGCACAGCTGGCTACGACTGGGCTACCGGACGAAGTCCCCGGAATACAGGTGCTGCTGGCGACACGACGGCAACCTCCATTCAGCTTCCCCAAACTATCCCACTCCCCCCTGGCACACACCCGCTGCTACACCGCTAGCTCCACTCCCCCTTCACCCCCCCTTAGTACCACTCCACCGGCTCCAACACGTCCACCCCCCCTCAGCGGCAGCTGCAGCACAGGGAGACGGAGGAGGAGGAGGAGCAGGCGACGCCACACACCTGCCACCCCCCAACCGCCACCCCCCAACCGCCACCCCCCAACCACTACCCCCCAAACCCTAAAAAAACAGGGTAGGGAGGTGGGGGGGGGGGGGGGGGGGGGGGGGGGGGGGGGCAACGCGCGGCCCCCGGCCCCCCCCCAGGGTCGCCTCGACAGGCGACGGGAGTTGGGCCGGGGCAGGTCGGGGCCGGGGCAGGTCGGGGACGGGGCGGGGCAGCAGGGGCCGCGCACGGCTCCCCTGGGCAGCGCGACGGGGCAGCAGGGCCGCGCGACGGGGCAGCAGGGGCCGCGCGCGGCTCCCCTGGGCGGCGCGACGGGGCTGCAGGGGCCGCGCGCGGCTCCCCTGGGCGGCGCGACGGGGCTGCAGGGGCCGCGCGCGGCTCCCCTGGGCGGCGCGACGGGGCTGCAGGGGTCGCGCGCGGCTCCCCTGGGCGGCGCGACGGGGCTGTAGGGGTCGCGCGACCCGCCGCGCGCCTCGGGGCGCGCGGCGGGCAGGAAACCGCCGCGCGCCTCGGGGCGCACGGCGGGCAGAAAACCGCCGCGCGCCTCGGGGCGCACGGCGGGCAGAAAACCGCCGCGCGCCTCGGGGCGCACGGCGGGAAGAAAAACTGCCGCACGCCACGAAGCGTGCGGCACAGAGAGTAGCAGTAGCAGTTGCAGCGGAAGCAACAAGGTGGTGAGCCCACCCACAGGATCGATCCAAGGGGATCGACCTGCTCTGATAGCATGTTAAAGTTTAGAAGAAAGAAGAGAGAAGAAGAGGATTGCACTAGCAAGAATGGGGATACAAATAGGAAACCCTAGAAGGGTTGTACTTGCTATAGAGCACCCCACTACAGGCTAGAGCATAAGATAACATTCTGACACAGTTGAGTCATAATAAACGTTGTGCAGACATGAAGTAATCAATATTACCCTTGAACCGACGAAGTTGTTAGAAGACAATTACAAAAATGAATTGATCCAATTATAATATATTGAACCGCAACATAGGCATATAGTATGCTGGAAAACATCATTTGTCAGTCATTGAGGTTAGAAAACAAAGCTCCAGAACAGAATGAAAAAAACTTACCGTCGACGAAAACATTGACATCCCCTTTTAGCAAATTCTGTTAAGACAGATCTTACAATCAAACAACAACGTTGATACACCAAACATTTTTGTTTACAATAAAATAACAATGTTCAAGAAAATGAAATTGCAAGAAAACGTACAAGTGAAGTAGATGATTCATCGTGTTGAATCGTACGAAACGCCATGATTCCTTTCCAACGTCATTGAGAAGATGGCACTTGCTATCCTGATTCAATGCCACGGGAAAAAGGATGAACGGATGGGAAAGCCAGTTTGAAATGTGACGCGGTAACATAGTAGGGGACGTAAGCAGTGACGCGAGATGAGAGAGACTTCAAGGAACTAAACAAATAATCGTCAAAATCATGGTTCTAGTTACGAAAGACGAGTTAGAACAAGAGTGTAATTAATGACAAACGAAGACTGCCGGGTAATATAGTGATTTAAGGGTGTAAATGTTAGTTGAAGTGTTGAACAGAATTAACAAGTCGAGCCTAGTTACTGGGAGACACAAGAGCAGAGCAGCAAATAACAAAGTGAAGAACAAAAGGTGACGAGAGAACAACGCCTTCTTCTAGCAACAAGTTTGGATCGTTTTACGGTATGGATGGGTTATAGTAGTTTCGTATCGGTGATCGAGATGGGGTTCACACCATGAAGTGGACCTCACAGGTGGTTGAATATTTTAGTTCTGTGGTGGACCTTTGGCAGTGACGCGAATTCTTTTAGTGCACGTGGACGATTTCGGTACTGCTGGCAGGTGCCACGTATTTCCTTTCGCGACACGTGGCACGAAATTTTGATTTAGTGGATTTATATTTAAATTGGAGGCATAATATTTACGTTAGCTCCTAGCGCAGTGGTCTTGTACTTCAGATATTTTCCGAAGGTGTTGAGTTCGATTCCCAAAGAGGTTCTTGACGCGAAACACAAAAGCAATATTTTGTTTTGTTTTACTTGTTTTGAGTGCCAGTTTTTGTAACAAACAACTACTGGTAACATTGTGGGATTATGATTACCACCAACATTGTGGTGTACTTATATTTCGTTATGAAATATTCCAGAAGGGTACAACACGAACGAAAATCATAAACAAAATCTACATCCAACGCAATGGAACTGACATCGACGGGCATCGAACCTGCGTCTTCTGATCGCGTTGCAGT